GTCATCCAGTACTTAAGTAGATCGTTGACCAAGGCAGAACGGCGCTACTGCGCGACTCGAAAAGAGATGCTGGCCCTCACGCACTTTGTGGAAGAATGCCGGCCATATCTTCAGTACCGGCCGTTCGTCGTACGCACTGACCACAGTGCCTTGACTTGGCTAAGAAATTTTTGGCACTTCAACTTGCCTGTAGCCTGAAGCTAAATCAAGCGTCGAAAACATAATATTGCCAGCGAGAGCGTCTAAGGTGGTATCTATTCGTGGGAGAGGAAAGGAATCCTTCTTAGTCACTGCATTTAGCTTCCTATAGTCAATGCACAATCGCATTGAGCCATCCTTCTTCTTCACAAGTACAATGGGAGATGACCAGGGCGACTGAGAGGGCCTTATAATATTACTACTAAGCATATCATTGATAAGGGCATCTAGTTCCTTCTGGTAAAAGATTGGAAGTCGCATGGGGGGAACCCGGATGGGTCTCGCATCCCCCGTGTCGATGCAGTGCTCCGTCACACCTGTCCTCCCCGTGGACTTGCCATCCCAGTCAAAGATATCCTTAAATTCGCTTATTAACTGGCTGAGCTTCCGGGCGCAACCTTCGTCGAGGTGTGCCGGGACTAGGTCCTTAACATCAACACTAACCGCGCAAGTGGGTACCCTCCGTGGCTCAGGGAAACTGCGAAGAAAAGGCACACTGACCGTGGCGGCCCGTAAAGAATGCTTACCGAAATCAAGGGAACATGTAAACTTTTTTAAAAAGTCAACACCTATTATACAGTCCCAGGTGATATCCGGGGACACGACAAATTGGTGGGTAAAACTAAGACCTGAGAGGTCAAGAGAAAACTCCACCAGACCAGTATGCCTAAGATGAGTGCCATTTGCAGTATGAAGTTTAAAATTAGGCCTATCACAATACCTAATCCTCGTTTGGAACTCTAAAAAGGACTGCTGACGTATCAAAGAACAACCAGCGCCTGAGTCTACTAGGCATGAGAGACTAGTGCTGCCCACAAAGCCTTCAACTAACGGGCAAATAGTAGGACCAACGCATGAAGCAGCTGAATCAGAAACAATGTAGTACTTACCGCTACTGTCCTGTGGGCCGACGTCGATTGACTGGACAGGTCGACGGTTCTGAGAACCATTGGGGCGACGGGGCGGTAGACGACGCCACTGCTTCTGTCGGGGGTAGTAGGAGCAGCAGGAGCAGGGTCGCCAGGGCGTTTGAGTAGCAGAGTCACGAACCATCTGCGGCCGGACAGCAACGATGCCGAGGAGAGGTTGAGCAGGTCGATCGCAGACTGCCTGAAGCGCCTCCTCTTGACGTGCCAGGTCAAGGGCCTTCTCGAGAGTAGCCGGTTGCCCCCGCATCAAGGCCTTCCGAACTTCAGGGTCCCTGACACCAGCGACGAACTCCACCTACACCCGCTGAGTGAGGGCTGCAGCATCCATGGTGGGAAAAGCCTTCCGTCCCAGGAGACGAAGGGCCTGCTGGTAATCGAGAACTCCTTCGCCCGGCTGCTGGAAGCGGCCCCTTGGATTGCAGAATCCAAGGGTGCACAGACGCCCCGAGAATTGCACGAAGGCGATCCAAGATATCCGAAGCCGGCATGGAAGTGGATATGCCTGATGACCGTGCGAGGTCGTACACTTCATCGTCCAGCAGGCCCAAGATGGTTCCGCTTTGCGACGAAGTCTGCACCCCGCGTCAGCTTCTCTGGCAAGGGCGCAGACGGCTGATGCAGACCCAATTTCTGTAGCTCCTTGACTAATTTGCCAACAAGGTTGTCCGACATAGTCGTCACCGCTGCCACCAAATTGTAGCGTTAGACGGGATCATTACAACATCGGGGACTACCAACAACCGACAGCCGTCTGCATCATTGACTTTGCCGCCGCTTTCGATTCCGTGCACCGTGAGTCCCTGTGGCGGATAATGGCGCTAGATGGTGCACCGGCAAAAATCATCGCCATGATCTAGGCCTATTATCGCTCCACTACTGCGAGAGTCCTGGTCCGCAACAACCTTTCCCAACCGTTCGGTGTTCGGTCTGGCGTTCGACAGGGTTGTATCCTGTCACCTATACTGTTCAACTACGCCATTGACTGGATCCTCGGGAGGGCCCTACGCGAGAGTAACGGCGTTGAGTTTGCACCCGAAACATCGAATGACTGATCTCGACTATGCCGATGATATCGCCTTACTTGCTTCGAGTCTTGGTGATCTGCAGTCCATGGTGTCACGGGTGAACGAGGTCGAAAAATCGGTCGGTTTATCCATAAACGCTGGGAAAATCAAAGTGTTTTCAAGCCGCACCCCTGACCAGAAGAAGGCACCCCTCGGGATTGATGGCTGTCAACTCGAAGAAGAAGACAGTTTTAAATCCCTCGGGGCGAGGCTGCTGCCTAATGGACAGAGTAAGGACGACATTGTCTCCCGAATCGATGCTGCCCGCTGGGTTTTTTCAAGCCTTCTGAAATGCCTGTGGATTCGACGTGACCTCTCTATCGCCACAAAGATTCGCGTGTACCGTGCATCTGTCCGGTCTGTCCCTCTCTACGGTTGTGAATGCTGGGCTGTGCACGCGAAGGACGAGCGAAAACCGGAGGCATTTGACCACCACTGCTTGAGGACCATCCTTCGAGTGAAGTTCACCGACTTCGACTCAAATGAGACAGTCCGCGCTCACTGCGACAACATCGCAAGGATAACTCAAACCATCCAAGAAAGACGACTGAGGTGGTTCGGGCATGTTCTTCGTCGTCAACCTCAGGAGCTCGATCCGGCACCGCTAGCCCTTGGGAGGCGTCAAAAAGGGGGTCAGTTCAAAACATTTCGTCAAGATATGGAGGTGGTTCTTGGACCTTCGGTATTTGGTCTACGTCGTTGGCGTAGTGGCGTGGGAACGATGAGTGTTTATAGCCCCTGAATCACTTATAAGCCCTGTAACTTCGCATAACTTCAACTTCTATGTGACTGTTTTGGCCTGATGACGAGTTACCGAAAACACGTGTCTGCCAAATCAACTTTTCATTTGTAATTAACATAGATATTGTATGTGCTCTTTTAAATTGGTCATCAAGGGTATTGCTTTTTTACCTTAAATATACTATACATGAAAGGGAGTCACTAGGAGTGAGTGTTTTCTGCGCCATCTCAAAAAAACTGTGTGTACGGTCAACTTGTTTGTTCGAGAAAGACGCGACAGACGACAACTATATCTGCGGATGCTCCAGAACTGGCTATTGACGAAACTGGGGCAAATGAACATGTCCAGTTTGTTTTTCAACAGGAAGGGACTCCTCTACACTGGAGCCTTGCAGTGTAAACTCAACGAGAAATCGCCAGGAAGATGGATCGGACATGTCTTTGATGAAGTCATGAATATGCTCGTGCTGTCCTGATGAATGATGAAATTTGCACCGTACAAAAAGTTTTCCGACTGGACAAAGAAAAGTCAGGCCGTGACCTGAAAACATCTCAAAGGCCTCTGAAAATTATCTTATAAAACGAAGCCTAGGCAGCTCTCATGTTAGATAGAAGAATAGCCTTGCGGAGATCGCACAAAGAGGGAGTGATGGAAGCTGTGGAAGTGTTTCTGTCTCACGTAGCAGAGGCATACTCAGTGTAGAGGAAGTCAAGCGTAATTTGTATCATATAAAGTCCTTCCAAGTGGTCTGCCTTCTGTTACCTAAGACTTGGGGACCGCAGCATAAGGATACTTCCGTTGCGTAGCTGCATTGGCAGAACTATGCAATATGAATGCATCGCAAACATGCGTGACCGCCTCCGTAGCTCAGTGGTTAGAGCACTGGTCTAGTAAACCAGGGGTCGAGAGTTCAATTCTCTCCGGAGGCAGAATTTTGGTATTGACGAAATAAGACCAACCAGTCTTATTTGCTGCAAAATTATGGGGAAAAAAATAATCAAGCGAGAAATTATGTACTTCCTTGAGCGGCATTATTTGTCATGCGATGCCCGGCACGGATTTCGAAGGGACAGATCATGCGTGACAAGCCTAATATATTGCTTAAAAGGCTGGACCCGGGCAGTCGATGGCGGGAATGCAGTGCACGCAGTCTACGTCGACTTTAAGAAAGCATGCGATAGTGTACCATTAAGCCGAACAGGCATTAGAGCTAATCTCGTGAGGTAGATCTAAAGCTACTTTATCGGCCGATCTCAAAATATCTACTTCGGTGACAGGCATTCGGTCGAAGTGATCACGCAGTACTTTTACGGGACTACGAGCTGTATTCCGAACCGCATACAAAATACAATACGAGGCCAAATATATGGAAAGGGGACTTTCGCCAAATGAGAGCCGAGGCATCACAAATAGACTGGGAAGTTCTCTTCTCCGGAAACGTTAACGAGGATTGGAATTCATTCAAGGATCGGTTGCTGCATCTAATGAGGAGCCACTGTCCCTTATTAAAGCCTAGGACATCCAACCGCCCCCAGTGGCTAACAAGAGAACTCAAAAAGGAGATCAACAAGAAAGGAAGGCTGTGGAAGAAATTTCACGAAAACAACAACATAGCAGCGTTTACAGAATAAAGTTCAAAGAAATAAATTGAAAAGACTGATTTTCAGGAGGCGACGGAATTTCGAGAGTAATTTGCTTCACCGAGCCGTTAAAAATCCGAAATTGCCCTACAGCTAGTTGCGGAAGAGCACACGTAACAGGAATCCCATTCCTATCATGAGGAATGCTGACGGTTTGGAGATATCGGACAGTACAAATAAAACTGAGCATTTTTCTCAGTTTTTCCTATTCGTTTTCACAAGAGAAGCAGACTTTATTCCATCTAGCTCTGAGAACATGGAAGATCCGGCAAATGACAATATTGTGTTTCGAGAAGAAGCGATTTTGAAGAACTAAAAAGCCTGAAGGGATGTAAATCTCCCCGTCAGGACGACATCCCAACAAAGCTGCTCTTTCAGCTTGCCCGAGAGTTGGCCAGACCACTATCCTTTCTGCGCCAGAAGTCGTTTGATGCTGAAATCCTCCCCACAGACTGGAAGACAGCCCACATTACACCCCCTTACAAAGGCGGTAGTCGTGCTCTTGCAAAAAACTACAGACCCATCAGTCTGACATCAACCTGCTGCAAAGTGATGGGAAAAACCATCAAAAGGGAGTTGGTGGCTTACTTGGAAACCCACAACCTCTTGCTCAATGCCCAATACGGTTTTCGCAGGGAAAGATTGTATGCAACGAACTTGCTATACACAATGCAAAGCTGGACAAAAGCACTCGATGCAAAACACACTGTGCATGTAGCCTATATCGGTCTCCAGAAGGCGTTCGACAGTGTTCTGCACCAGCGTCTCCTGTACAAGTTGAGTGTCATGGGCATCGGCGGCAAACGTCTTAAATGGATCGAGAATTTCCTTGTCGGGCCGTTCCCAAATTGTCTGCGTGGAGCAACAGCAATCAAGGTGAGCAGTCATAGAGAATGGAGTCCCAAAAGGCTAAGTGCTCGGACCGACCCTCCTTCTATTGCTAATTAGTGATTGTGTACAGGAATTGGATTGTGATTGTGAGATGTTTGCAGATGATATGAAAATCTGGAAAGTCATCCAGAATGTCGCCGACGGCAGCAACTTCCAAGAAGAGTCTTTTGAGTTAAAGGCAGTTGCGCCGAAACTTAATACAAGTTTTCCGTATCATGCGTGCTTTTGACTGCAACCCGCCGTGTGATGACTTTTTCCAAGTCGGCACTACAACTAGCCCGCGAGGACCTCGCTTCAAGCTACGTTTGGTCCAAGGAAGATAGGAAAATCTGGCAGCGGACGGTGCGATAACTTCCTTTAACCGTAAGCTAATGGATGTCACATTCGAACTCCCTCTGGCACAGAGACCACAGAACCAATGGCTCGGACCTAATTCTTATGAAAGACTTCTCTAATAGTGACGAAGTGTATTCAAGTGCACCTCTACTGTGGGATTACTCGCCAGAAGAGAAAGGATGGCCAACGAAGCTGAGGAATGGCCCTCATTATTTATCCAAAGAGAATGAAAGTGAGCAAACATACGCAAACACGGCTTCCTCTGCTGCGTCGACAGAAGCAAAGGTAAACAGTAGGCGTCTAGAATTCGATAACAATGACAATCAGTGTCTTGTGCGAGAAAAGGGTGGTCAGACGCGATCTCAGCGAACAAAAAGATGTCTCAGAGCACCCCGAAAAGGCACAGAGAGTCAGATAAGGGAGCAGGAGTTGGCTACACCGCAAACAAAAGTCGTGCCGCTGAAAATGACAAATGACCAAAAGATCGTAGTAAATAGTCAGGGCGTGAGTCCTACCGAATCAAACCTTCCTAAATCGGTGAATGCCGGTAGTCGGCATATCCGTGATGAAGTCTCTGCAGGTATGATTAAACCACAAGGCCCTCTAGTTGATCGAAGTGGATGCACTGTCATAAATGGCATGCCTGAGTCTGTTTCCGACACTCCAAAAGACAGAATACAGCATGACATAGAAATATTCCAGGAATATCTTAAATCACGCTTAGCTGCAGTCCTTTGTGATGCTCCAGCTAGGGCCTTCATTAAGTAAATTAGGAATGCCAATGCCTACCACGGCTGCGAGAGATGCTACATTAAAGGTGACTATAAAGACAAGGCATGAGGGAGACACAAGCCACGCCAGTCCGCCAATGGCTGGGATCAGAGAGGCCACAATCGGCCAACGGAAAACAGGCTAACCAACGTGCGTGCGCTGGACACGGTTATAATACGAGGCAGGCGGCAAGGCTGAACAAATCAAGGCCAGCAGGAAACGCCAGCGACCGACTCTGATGATGGAAACGAGAGTGTTTCCGAAACGTCAGCTTGAATACACTCTGGTCCATGAAATCGCCTTCTCTTCTTCATCTTCCTCGGGGGATGACAAACACGACAATATATCTGGACCTCGAATCTTCACGCATATTGCTTTATGCTATGGGCGCACATGCCTCCACTCAGCACGCAGATGGGTGTCACAAAACCAAGAGGTACTGATAACCGGAGACTTCAACGCACCCATGGTCGACTGGAACAATTTATTAGTAAACGGTTCGCGAAATTCGTTTGATTCTAGGCTCTTGAAACTAACGGCTAATCTCTTTCTGGTACAAAACGTCACGTTCCCAACCAGGATCAGAGCGGACCAAAGAGCAAATTGTCTGGACCTCGTCCTTACAAAAGACCAAATTAGCCCTGGCGAACTTAGGTTCATAACACCGCTGGGTAAGAGTGACCATGTCATGCTGTTTTGGGAATACCGCCTATGCAGCCAGCAAGTGAATATGACTGAGCCTCGGCTGAATTTCTGGCGAGGCGATTTTGCCGCCATGAGAAGGGAATTATCGGCAGTGGACTGGAATGATGTTTTTTCCGGACATCCGGACGTTGATTGGAACACTCTCAAAGGAGTTTTAACAGACATCATGCATCGGAACTGTCCGACAAAGAGAGTCAAAAAGAATATCCGTCCTGCCTGGATAACGCGGGATATAAAGAAAGAAGTAAACTGGAAGGACAAACTATGGAGAAGGTATGCAACAACAAAACAACCATCTCATTACGAGCAGTTTCGGCGAAAGCGAAACGAGGTAAGATCGGCTATCCGCAGGTCGCGGAAGGAGTATGAAACGCGAGTTATGGAACGGGCCGTCGATAAGCCAAAAGTGCTCTTCAGTTACATCAATAGTAGGTTAAAGAACGAGGAGACGATCTTAGTGTTAAAAGGAGAAAACAATGAGGATATAATCGAAAATGACGCCAAGGCAGAAAATCTAAGCCGGTTTTTCGCATCTGTTTTCACTGATGAAACGGACTTTGTCGAGGCTAGATTGCCTGCTGGGACAACCAACGAAATAATAGAAAACATCGACTTCATAGAAGAAAATGTCAGGAAGGAACTTCTAGCGCTTAAGGAGGGTAAGTCTCCGGGTCCCGACCAAACTCCGGCAAAAGTTCTGAAGGAGTTGGCTTGCGAACTCGCCAGACCGCTTTTGCACATCTTCAGGTCGTCCTTTGACCGAGGCATTCTCCCCTCTGATTGGAAAATGGCGAACATATACCCCATTCACAAGGGTGGATCCAGAACAAGTACAAACAACTATCGGCCGGTGAGCCTAACGTGCATTTGTTGCAAAGTCATGGAGAGAATAGTCAGAAATCCATAATGAAGTTCCTTGAAGAAAATAATTTCATTGCTAGTTCTCAACATGGCTTTCGACGAAATCACTCCTGCGTAACTAATATGCTTTATTCAACGGAAGAGTGGTCTCGCTCGTTAGACGCAGGAACAAAGGTCGATATCGTTTACATTGATTTCAAGAAAGCCTTTGATAGTGTTCCACACCACCGGTTACTTTACAAGGTCCGAGAGTCAGGGATAAGGGGAAACCTACTAAACTGGGTAAAGGACTTTCTGACTGGTCGATCACAATCTGTGTATTGGTAGTGCGAAGTCATCGTCAGTGCCAGTCGTACGCGGAGTTCCCCAGGGCTCTGTACTCGGACCGGTACTATTTTTAATTTATGTCAACGACAGTATGAATGGACTGGACTGCAACGGAGTCATGTTTGCCAGTGACATCAAGCTATGGCGAGCGATCAACGGGGAAAATGATGAACGGGCCCTGCAAGAAGGACTGAACCGCCTATGCGAATGGTCTGAGAAATGGCAGTTGAAGTTTAACCTTGAAAAATGCGCCACGCTGCGACTCAAAACAGCTGGAAGAGCCGACGGAGAGGATCACCATTACCTGCTTGGTGGAAGGTGCCTTTCAAATGCGACACAACAAAAAGATCTTGGGATCAACATTTTGTCGACTATTAAGCCTTCATCTCAGTGCGTTAGGGCGGCCAAAACGGCGACTAGTGTTCGCTTTGCCATTAAACGAACTTTCATAGACATAGATAAAGAGTTATTTGGAAAAGCATATGGAGCATTCATTCGTTCGCACCTGGAATATGGAATCCAAGCGTGGCGCCCGTGGCTAAAAAAGACCATAAGTTGCTAGAAAGAGTTCAGAGGAGAGCGACAAAAGTTGTGAAAGGCCTCAGGACTTTACATTACAACTGCCGACTTAGTGAACTTAAGCTCTTTTCTCTTGAGTACAGGCAGGTTCGAGGTGATCTCATACAGACCTATCGGATATTGAGGAACCGGGACTGTGCCTTACACCTGGACGATTTCTTCACCCTGGCCACAACAACAAACCTGCGTGGGAACTCCCTAAAACTTAGAGGATCCCGATGCCGCCCAAACGTTCGAAGATTCTGTTTTTCACAGCGAGTCATCGGTGCCTGGAACGGGCTTCCCGAGGACATAATAATGGCGGATACCACGAAGACGTTCAAGCAAAGACTAGATGTATATTTGCTTGGACAATACCGCTTGTCTGGACAGAACAGCTCTGTGGTGCCAAACCAACGCCTTGCATACACCTACCGCTAATGAGGATGTCTGTCATTGCATTTTACCGATATCATCTACAACTGAATGTGTCTGAGTTTCGGTTGTCCATTTTCAATAAAAAATATTATGTTAAGTGTAGATAGTACTGACAACATTTTAGTACTGTGTTTATTCAAAGTTACATATTGCATGTACCGTTTACAATAGGGTTTTCAAAGGCATTGCCTATTACCCTAAAAATATACTGACCTATATACTGACATTTGCGAAGCGAGAGTTATCCACCTACGCTCAGCTGAAGTTCCTGCACCGGTGCCTTAAACAGAACGTCTTACCTAAATGCCTCAGATACAGACTGCCTGTGAACACTGATCTATGCCAGCGGACGATGGGACACATCAAAAAGACGATGATCAGAGTACTGATACAAGACTGCCACTTTCGTATTCGCAAATACCGCCAAGTGATAGAACAACATTTGTCAACTTGCCAGTCGATTCTGACCGCGCCCGAGCTGGAAGCCTTGAGGGCGGCAATCCTCAGTGGGGCACAGCGTCACCCAAAGCTACGCGATGGTCAACTGTCAGAGAAATTCAGTAAATTATGTCCGCCGAGACAGCCCTCATCTGAAGGGATCCTGGTTTACAACCTATCCTCTCATCGTCTCACGCAATAACAGCTAGCGGTTTTGTCCTATGACACTAAGTTCAGCACGAGAGATGCTCGACCAGAAGACTTCATTGCATCCTTCGAATCAGCGCTCCAGAAGTGCGAGGCAGATGAAGAACGCAAACACGCCATGCGGCAACAGGTTTCGTCCTTGCTTCTCCAGCACAAACCCCAAATGACGATTTCCGAAGCTGAAGAACGAAAACTTTTCAATTTACGAAAAATTAAGAATATCGTCACCCTGCCTGCTGACAAGGGGCGCTCGACGGTCGTCATGGATAAGACCGAATACTGGACTAAACTGGAGAACTTGCTGATGAACACGGAGTCTTATGCGCTTTCGGATGCCATCGAGTTCAAAAAGCTTGTAAACAACATAAACAAGACGGTAAGGAGGTTAAAGAAAGCAAATGCCCTCACGAGAAGAGAGGCCCTGTCTGCGAAAGCCACTGACACGTCGATGGTACGCTTCTACGGCCTGCCCAAGGTACACAAACCAGGAGTGCCCCTCCGCCCAATCGTCTCTCTACATGGCACCCCAACATTTGGACTATCAAAGTGGCTGTACCAGCGACTGTGTTTCCTCATCAAGGACTCAGAGTGGACGGTGAAGTCAGCTGGAGGGTTTTTGACTCGCATCCGACATTGTAGAGTGGAGGCAGACGAGGTGATGGTGTCCTTTGACGTGGTCTCAGTGTTCACGCCTATCCCACCTCACCTGGCCATCGATACTCTCGACGGACTTCTCCGAGAAAATACGACGAGACCGACCAACAGCTTAAACGAGTGCACATCATCGAGCTCCTAGAACTGTGTCTCAAGACTTTCTTCACATTTAACTGCCAAGTGAACGAGCAAAAAAGGGAACGCCAATGGGTTCACCTCTGTCTGGACTAATTGCCGAAGCGGTTTTGCAGAGGCTGGAGCGGCTGGTATTCAGCTCGTACCCTCTGAAGTTCTGGGCCAGATATGTCGACGACACATAAATAAAAGAGTGACGTGCAAGATTTCAAGGCACTTTTGAATTCGGCATTTCCCGACATACAGTTCACCATGGAGGAAAAGGTCGACAATCGAATGCCCTTCCTAGACGTACACGTCACAAAACTGTCAGAGGGGAATATAAAGACAACGGTCTACCGTAAGGCTACTAACACTAGGCGCATCTTCCACTTCAGAAGCAACCACCCCGTCGGTCACAAACGCAGTTGTGTTAGGACCCTTTTCCAACGCGCCCAAACACACTGCAGCGACGCCGATGACAGGAAGAAGGAGGTGAAGTACTTGCGTGCCCTATTTAAAGCCAACGGTTACCAAAAGTCGTTATACGCAAGTGTCTTAGGAAGTCCCACTCTGGGCGGTCGAACGGGAAAAAACAAAGTTCTGGCTCTCGATCCCCTATGTGAAGAATGTTTCAGAGGCGACTTCAAGAATTCTGAAACCTTTTGGAATCGGTGTGGCCCATAAACCAGCATCAACAATCAGACAGCAGTTAATGAGGCCCAAACACCCGCTGCCGATGACGGAACAATCAGCGGTGGGTTACAGCATACCATGCTAAGATTGTGATGCAAGGTACGTTGGTGAAACGGGGAAACGCCTCGGCACAAGATTGCATGAGCATCAGCTTGCAATTAACCGCAAGGATAAGCGGTCGTTGGTGTATGGCCACACACTGGAACGGAACCACAATTTCGCTTTCGAGAATACGCGGGTGGTCGGTCGAGCCAACGACAAAATGGCCAGACTGATGCTGGACAGTTGGTCCTCGACTGGCACTTTCAACCGAGTCATAGACCTACATCCCGCCTATCAGGCGCTTCGCGCGAGTCAATCCAGGCAAGGCCAATGGCACGGATGAAAGGAATCACACGGGGTCGACTACCGACGCTTGTGGAGAGGGAAGGCGCTGACCGAGAGTCACGTGACCGGCGTGGCACGCTATCTCACGGACGTACTCGCGAGGGCGGAAAGACCAGGCCTGAGGAGCGAAAATCGATCAGCCCGCCGTCCAAGGAGGGGAGGCCAACGAGCACGCCGGCGCAACGGCAACCACGTCAGGCATAAGGGAGACACAAGCCACGCCAGTGCGCCAATGGCTGGGATCAGAGAGGCCACAATCGGCCAACGGAAAACAGGCTAACCAACGTGCGTGCGCCGGGCAAGGTTATACTACGAGGCAGGCGGCAAGGCTGAACAAATCAAGGCCAGCAGGAAACGCCAGCGACCGACTCTGATGATGGAAACGAGAGGGTTTCCGAAACGTCAGCTTGAATACACTCTGGTCCATGAAATCGCCTTCTCTTCTTCATCTTCCTCGGGAGGTGACAAACAAGACAAGGTTGTATACGATGGCGTTTCAGAGCCATTGCGGGCGGGTGAGGACTTTTTAGCTGCACCGGACAACCCTTGTGCTGAAGTACTTGACTACTTGACCTTTGACAATCTTGTCACGTTTGTTTTACTGCAGCATTTGTTTTAACGTGACGAAGACTCCGCCGCTTGTAAGCTTCGCGCCGCTTGCGTTCCCTCTGGTCAGGTCGTTGCACATTTTGAATATTAACTTTATTCACTTACTGGCCTTCCTTACCTCTCTCCGTTTATGAGGTTAGTAAGCTGTAGTTCGTTAGTTCGCGGGAACGACATAAAATACGTCATTGGTGACTCCCGACGTTAGCGCAGACTTAAGTTCTTTCCTTCTGTAACATTTAATGACATTTAACGTCCTGTATTTATTTGCTAAATTTCAGTTCATTTACATTTCCCGTTAACCTTTTCACGATATTGTGCTACCTATATTTTGCTTATTATGTCTTCCTCAACTCAACAACCTGACGTTCCTGCCGAGTCTGTTCATGCCGTTCATTTCACTTTGCCTGATTTTTGGCAACACGCCCCTTAACTTTATTTTATCCGCATTGAGTCAGCCTTTTACTCCGCCAACATTACGAAGGAGTTGTCGAAATACCACAAACTTGTGGAGGTTTGCCCTGCCAATATTATATCACAACTTCAACCCTTGTTAGTGAAACCCCCTGCAGACGCTCCCTATTCTGCTCTGAAGGCGGAAATCCTTCGTCTCAATGCTGTATCTGACCGACAACGCTACCACCAGTTGATCAAGGAGGAATCAATGGGCGACCAAAAGCCCTCAGAACTTCTCCGACGAATGCGTACTCTCTTAAGAGACATAAAGGTCGACGAGAAACTCGTTAAAAAAGATGTTTCTAGAACGGCTGCCTGCAGATGTTCAAACGATTTTGGCATCCGGCTCGCAAGACCTTAAACTTTCACATCTTGCTGAAATGGCAGACCGAATGATAGAGGTTCAACGGTTCCAGCCACGTTCCGTTGCTCAGATTTCCACATCCTCTTCAACGGCTAATGAGCATTTACTGCAACAGATGTCGGCTATGGCGAATGAGATAGCTTCCCTAAAACTACAGCTTGCTCGCATTACCTGTAGTCGCTCACCCAGCTGTCATCGTTCACGTTCGCGACCTCGCACAGCCAATTTTTGTTGGTATCACGCAAACTTTGCCGCCAAGGCTCACAAATGTTCTTCCCCTTGTTCATTTAAACCGAAACAGGGAAACCGGCCAGTCAGAGGATAGACGCGAGCGTTTTCTCTGGCTCTCCCAAGTCTGGTCGCACCTTTTATGTCTGCGACAATGTGACTCGCAAGCGTTTTCTGGTGGACACCCGAGCCCAGATCAGCGTGGTTCCCCCCACTCCAGTTGACCGCCGCTGTCCCAGCCCTGGTCTACATCTCCAAGCTGCAAACTGTTCCCCCATTTCCACTTTTGGTAGTCGTTTCCTAACGCTAAACATTGGTTTACGTCGATCATTCTCCTGGATATTTGTGATTGCCGATGTGCCTCATGCGATCCTTGGTTCCGACTTCCTAGCCGAGTTTGATCTCCTTGTTGACTGTCGGCGTTCCTGTCTCCTCGACCGCACAACTGGTCTTTCTATCCGCGGTCTTACACCCTTTAATGACTCCTGTTCTGGACACAGGTACTGCTGACCCCATGCCTCCTCCCACTCCTTTTCCACTTTCCCCACCTATCCCTGCGTCCCGTATACTTCCTCTTCCTGCTTGTTCGCAGCATCAAACTGCAACCTCTTTCCTCCACCCTTAACTTGTCCACTACAATACCTACTCAGCTGCCTCCAACAGTGCCTCCCGCATATATCACCCGCAGTGGACGTCACGTTCACTTTCCCGATCGTCTAGTTACTCATTTCTCCTAGACCTTTGTATGTCCTCCGGCGTCGTTCACGCCGCCCTCCGGTCTCGGAGGGGGTACTGTGCTGAAGTAATTGACTACTTGACGTTTGACAATCTTGTCACGTTTGTTTTACTGTAGCAGTTGTTTTAACGTGACGAAGACTCCGCCACTTGTAAGCTTCGCGCCACTTGCGTGCCCTCTGTCCAGGTCGTTGCAAATTTTGAATATTAACTTTATTCACTTACTGGCCTTCCTTACCTCTCTCTGTTTATGAGGTTAGTAAGCCGTAGTTCGTTAGTTCGCGGGAACGACATAATTTACGTCACCCTCACCGCACTGGCGTGTCACCTTTGTTGGCGTGCAACGTTGGGATGAAAAGTTCATTCCCTCTAGATCCTCTGCATTTAGTATATTTAGGTGTAATGAAGAGGCTACTTAATTTGTGGCTTCGCGGCCCAAGAGAAACTGCGTTTAGGTTGACAACAGCAGAAGTTTCTCTCATCAATACTAGATTGCGTTCCTTAAATGCATCCCTGCCGCGGGAATTTTCTCAGCGTGCTAGGGCAATACGTGACATGGACATGTGGAAGGGTACGGAACTGCGGCAGTTTTTGCTGTACACAGGTGCAGTTGTGCATCAACATTCCGAAGGTCCACTGCCATCCACTGATGGACCGGCTACGCAGTAAAAACTTATACAACAAAGCAACTTGGTCATTGGCACAGAGACCTCGGACGGTTCTGTTGCCACTGACTGTAAGTTTGTATGTATCTAAAGTATAGTACGGTACACATCAGGTGAATTGCAAATAGTTTTCGCCAACTATTGTGCAATAGAAGACTACTTCGATTATCCCATTAGGTCCTCAGACGTTAATGTTTTCAAGGCTAGGTTAGACACTGAGATTCACAACTGTCCTTTGCCGTTAACGGTTGAGAAGTATGCGTGCTTCCCAATGCAGGACCACTTCGTCCTTATTGAAATTAATGGACGCTGGGACTCAGCATACGAGCAGTTGTGAGTCGTTCCGATCGGGTGCGTACATGGGGATCTTCTTGGCTGACGAACGACGGTATCATTTCCTCACAATTTCGGCAATGGTAAGTCTTCTCACTGATATTCCCATCTCCAAGGTGGCACTCTTCGCGAATCCTACAACCCAACAGTCCCCTATTTACTGATTCGCGATTAGTGAATGGGTACAGTGAGAGTTAGCCTAGTAATACTATCATCATCCCTGTCCTTTCCTGTTGGGTTGCAGAGAACTATGTCAGACAGGCCACATAGTACCAGGAAAGATTTTGTGTCCGGAGATGAAGAGTCTTCGTCAAGGTTATCAAGTTATTCGCTAATACGGCATTCAGAAGTCAGAAAGTGCAAGTGATTCGAGTGAAACCATCCCGGGATGTATGTCTTCATCTTACTTACGCGCGGCCCAGAACTAGCTTTCGACCGACGCTTTTTGGACATGGCACTCAGGTCATTTCTCACACAGCACGTCCTCTTTCCCACGAGGGCCCGTGAGGGACAGCAGTCAAACTGCTTGGACCTGGTGCCCACGAAATCGATGGACAGCATAGATGAGGTACAATGTCTGCCTCCCTTAGTTCGAAGCGATCACGTCGTACTTCAATGGGACTATTAAATCTTTTTCGTGCCTGAACAGCCCACCAAAATTAGAATAAATATTTGGCGTGGGGACATCGATCAAATGAAGGCCGAAATCAACAATACGGACTGGGAATTAGCGTTTTCCGGAAATATAGAGGAGGATTGGAAATGGTTCAGTGAATTATTGCATGTTCTCCTGACAAACCACTGCCCGCTTTCACGGAAGGGGCTAAACAATCGACCCCGGTGGCTGACCCAGGCGTTAACAAGGGAAATAAATAAAAAACGGAGATTGTGGCAGAAATCTCTCACTGAACACAGAGGAACTTAGTCAAGCGACTGGCCCTCAGGACACGGCAAAATTTTGAAAAAGACCTATTGAATCGTGCTATGGAAAATCCAAAATTATTCTACAGCTACATAAGAAGCAGCACACGAAACAGATATCCAATCCCCCTCCTGAAGACAAGCGGAGACGTAGAGATTAGTGAGGATGGAGAAAAAGCTGAGCACTTTTCACAAATTTTCAAATCCATCTTTACTAGTGAAAGTCCATTTACTCCTCCCGACTACGACTTCGATGAGGATCCAAAAATTGAGTCTGTATCTTTTGATGAAGCGACGGTTCGCAAAGAGCTAATGACGCTAAATGAGTCGAAATCACCAGGTCCAGACGACATACCGCCTAAGTTACTGAAGGAGCTCGCTGCCGAACTAGCCAAACCATTGTCCATGCTTTTCCAAGCCTCGTTCGAAGCCGGCTGCTTGCCCGCCGACTGGAAATCTGCGCGGATCACACCACTGCATAAAGGAGGCAGCAAGGCCTCTGCAAACAATTACAGGCCAATTAGCTTCACCTCCATCTGCTGCAAACTCATGGAGAAAATAATCAAGCGAGAGCTGATGCGCTTCCTAGAGCAGCATAATTTATTATCTGATGCGCAGCATGGGTTTCGTAGTGGCAGGTCTTGCGTGACTAACTTGCTCAACTGTTTGGAACGTTGGACTCGGTCAGTTGATGAAGTCAATGCGCTGCATGTAGTCTATATCGACTTTAAAAAGGCATTTGATAATGTCCCACATCAGCGACTCCTGCACAAACTGAGCCGAACAGGCGTTAGGGGTAACCTCTTAAAATGGATTCAAAGCTTCCTATTAGACCGTTGTCAAACTGTCCATGTCGGTGGCCAGAAGTCGACGGAGGTTGCCGTTAAAAGCGGTGTTCTCCAAGGCTCAGTTCTTGGTCCTACTTTGTTCATCATTTACGTCAACGATTGCGTGAGTGAACTGGATTGTAGTGTCGCCATGTTTGCGGATGACATTAAGCTCTGGAGCGTCATTCGAACTGCAGATGACGAAGAGCATCTGCAGGCGAACCTAAATCGACTCCAACAGTGGTCAAAGGCCTGGCTTCTGCCGTTCAACGAGAAAAGTGCAATATTCTACGAGTCGGCAGAGCTCGCTCTCCGAACTATATGGCCTACTGCCTAAACGGTATACCACTGCAAGAAGTGGACTCGCAGAAGGACTTGGGAGTATGGATTACGACCTCGCTCAAATCCTCGCTGCACTGCACGAAGATAGCCAAGTCTGCAATGTCAGTCCTCTACCTTGTCAAGCGAGCTTTCTCTGCCTTTGATGAAGACTGCTTCGCTAGTCTTTCGAACTTTTGTGCGTCCGCAACTAGAATTTGCTATCCAAGCTTGGAGACCCTGGACCGCGAAGGACCTCAGCATCCTTGAAAGGGCTCAAAGGCGTGCAACGAAACTTCTGGCAGGACAGGGTTCACTACCATATGCAACGCGGTTAGCTAACCTTGATCTCTTTCCCTTGAGTTACAGGCAGTTACGGGGTGACCTGATACAAGCCTTCCGTATCATACGCGGTCAGGACTGCAGCCTCGTACCGGGTGACTTCTTCGAGTTAGCAACCACCACAAATCTACGAGGCCATCCATTCAAACTACGTGTGACAGGGGCCAGACTGGACACACGAAAGTTCTTCTTCTCCAACAGAGTGCTAGAAGCCTGGAATGCCCTGTCTGTGGATGTCGTTATGTCTGCTTCCGTCGAGGTCTTTAAGAGGAAGCTGGATTTGTGTAGCAGTGTCTACTAAATTACCACCCGATCTCTGTAACCCCGACAAATTCCGTTGTTATAACACTACTTGCTATATTTCAGTAACATTTTAAATTGAGTTGCTTATTGTCCCAACCCATCGCCTACGCTCACTGACATGCACCTATGCAAATTTTGTCACCGGATATATTATTTACTTCGCTGCACTAGAAACGACAGCTCTACAACTACTCGTACCAATAAAATTCGAGACAGTTTGTTTGATACCTTTTCGAGTTTTTGAGATTTTGCAGTTGTTTGTAAACAAATAGGGAGTTCAAAGGTGAAGACCTACATTTCCCTCAATAAACTGAACTGAACTGAACTGAACTCACCTATTAGATGACACTTCCCCACGCCCAAATACTAGTACGCTAAGAAGGAAACGACGGCGAAATGCTAGTCGTAAGTCTACCAAAGAGAAGAAGAAGAATAGACAATACTGGATGCTCTATTCTCAACATGATATAATCAAGCGACTTACTGGCCTGTGCAGTAAGGTCGACAATTTGGACGCACATGTCAGGCGTCTTATCGCCGCCTCCACACCGCTACCGGTTGAGGAAGGTCCGGCATGGCAACAGGTCAGTTCGCTGGCCGCCTACGACAGATTATGTGCGGCGTTGTCAGATGCGCAATATCGACGTCGATTGGTAACTTATTTATTATGCATAAACGCTTCGCATAGATATGTTACCTATCTGGAGCAGGTGGTGAGAATACGCCAGCATTTGCTGGTCGTATTTTCTCCACACTATTCACGGAGGACGTGACGGATTTTTTGACATTCTACGGCAAAAAACCAGGAAGTAGAGCCTTCTTTGGGTCTCCAGTCTACAACCTGATCCTCGGTATGACTTTTAATTCATGCGCATTAACCTTTTATCTCCTAGACGTCTTCAGTAAGTGATGTGCCAGCCATGCCTCAGACAAACAAAAACTGGAAGACGCATTTAAGAACGTCTTCAAACGTGCTCACGACCGGCAACAACGCAAACGCAATAAAGCATCAAAAAGCGTATTGCAGAACGGTAATATATATTTGAAGGATTAATTTATGTGCTTAATTAATTTTAATGCCGATTGAAAACACAAATACATGCTCTTACTGTTCTGCGTGATCTTCCTTTCAGATACCCAACCAGCTGAAGACCTTGACATGACGCCAAATGATAACTGACGACAATTGGTTTTTTGGATATTTTAAACACATTTTTTACTATTTTTGATAAATACACTTTTTTATAACTAATCCGGATTGATATTATATTTGAAGGGAGGTGGGGGAGTACTGCTATTGGGTGGGGGTGGGCTGGGCGGATATCTGGAGGGTAAAGACCCCTATTTTATTTTATTCCACAATCTCGTATTTTCGAGCTCTTAAAGAGTACGGGACGAGCCCGCCGTCGCGAAATTACGAGAGCGTTAAGAGGGCGCAAAAACGAGGGCGCATCGAGCTTGGTTGCCTGGCCAAACCAGAGCTCGAAACGAGCCCCGCAAGGCTAATATGCTTTGCTATTAGGGAAAGTCACCGTATTAAAGGCTTTCAGGATGGGCCAAATAAAAGACTTAAAAAATAAACCAGACCGACCGAGACCGTTAAAAGTTGTCTTCCAGAATGAAGAAAAAGCGCAGCTACTGTTAAGCCGGCAATCACCGCTCCAAAATGCCCACCCATCAGTTTTTTTTTCAGCCTGACTTTTCACCCGCGCAGAGAGGAAAACGGAGGGGGCTCAAATTGGGAGTCCTTAGACGGTCGAGTCTGGGCGAGGCAAATCTCAGAATACAGGACGAGAAATTTATACGCGTCCAGAGGCCATTCCTCTGGAGAAAGCCCATAACCCTAATAGCTCAGGAGTGATGGAAAGCAGTCCATCCCGATCAGCTCCAACCGGCTTTTGCATTCTATCCCATGAAATGGATAAACGTCTGCATGCCGGAGTTGCTTGTGCCAAATTGATATTTTTGTATCCTAATGCTCAATGTCTCGTTTCAAAGATTAACAAATTCAAAACGCTAGTTTCAATATGAATACCCGACGTCATCACCATAACGTAAACTTGGCTAAATGCCGAAATCGTGGATGCCGAGATTTCGATACAGGGTTACCAGCTCTTTCGTAGAGACCGTCAAAATAGACAGGGCGGTGGGGTAGTCGTATATGTAAGGGAAGGAATTTCAGCAGTTGAAAGAGCCCACACCCTCTCTCTTGAATATGAATCCGTCTGGATAAAGATAAAGAAGAGCAATGCACAAAATCTAGAATTTCTGGCGATTTACAGACCATCAAAGCTTCCGAGTGTCGCTGATGAGTCTTTCCTACATTTAGTCAAGAACGTAGCTAGCCACCAGGAGGTGCTTATTACTGGAGATTTCAACGCACCTGCAATAGAGTGGGAAACTACGGTATTTAGCGGTGGGCCAACTGTCTTCAGCAATAAACTAATGGACCTCACACTCGATCTCCGTCTGGCGCAACATGTAAAGGTACCAACAAGATTTCGAGAGAACCAGACAGCGAATTGCCTGAACCTAGTTTTAACGAAAGACTTCTCTAATATCGACGAAGTGTATTCCAATGCATCTCTACGGAAAAATGACCATACTACGCTACTATGGGATTACTCGCTCTTCTCTCAACGCCAGAAGAGAACAGAAAACCAACCTAATATACGTGCGTGAATAGGGGCTGTTTGCTTAAGGGGGATTCAGAGGACGACTGGAGGTCATTTAAGATGATTTCACAAGACCTGATTCGGTGCTGTTTCCCAGTAAAGATACAACAACGACGAATCGACCTGCCTGGTTAACTAGGGACCTAAATAGACAGTTACGGAAGTAAAAGATGACAGTTATTCAGGGAAACTGGGTCGCCAGTGCACCTTGAGGAGTTTCATCGTCAACGAAATGCAGTCAAAAATGTAGCCGTCCGGCACGGAAGGAGTATGAATCCAGAATCATCCGACAGGCTGAACAGAAGCCGAAGATTTTATTTCACTATCTTAACAGTAAACTGAAAAACAAGGACCCGGTCGCAGTACTGAAGGATGATAATGGTGTAGAAATCATTGAGAACAGCGGGAAAGCCGAACACTTAGGATGGTGCATGATAGCACGCAGGCAAATCGATGTGTCTATTAATAGAGTTGGTGTCCGACACCCACGCCGCGAGAACTGTTGGAGGCGTGGGTGTCGGACACCAGCTCTATCAATAGACACTTAGGACGGTATTTTGCCTCGGTTTTCACTAGGTGAACGGAGTTTTGGAGTCGCAATGCTGTTGAGACAACTTGTCCCCTGCTTGAATCCATACTCTTCCTGACAACTGTCGTGGAAGGAGAGCCACAAAATCCCAAGGAAGCATAGTCATCGGGTCCGGACAATATAAGGGTCAAATTCTTAAAAAAAAAATTGGCAAACAAACTTTCCAAACCACCAGCACACATCTTCCGTTCGAACTAGGGAGGCTGCCATCCAAATGGAAGACGGAAAATATATACCTGATTTACAAGGATGGGGGTTGAACTAGTGCTAACAACTATCAACCTGTCTGTCTCACGTGCATTTGCCGCAAAACAATGGAAACCGCAGGTAAGAAAGCAACAACGAAGTTTCTGGAGGAAAGCCAGCTACATCTTCATCCTCAGGAGTTTTCTTCTCACTAGCATTAGATACAACTTATACTATTAGAACGCTTACTTAAACTTGAATATCGTGTGTGCCGTTTTTAGTACGGTCTCCGGAGGCGTTGTCCGATACCTTCAAATATACTAAACTACTTTGGGCTCACCGACCTCCGCCCGCATGCCGGATCGACGACCATTAGGCCAACTGCCCATAGTTCCACTGATTCGGTACCCCCCCTACCCTCCAACACAGGGAGACGCAACAATTCCCCCTTCCCTCCCCCGCCACGGATCCCAGCCTAATTATCTGTCCACCCCCATTCACACATTAGTTGCTTGCCTGTCACTGGCTGCCCTGTCACGCCAGTAAATTTATTCTGACCAGTTCACTTTCTCCACTGTTTATTTCGTCTGACGACGGGTTGGTGTCACCAGCTCGAAAATTTACGAGTACAACTCAATTTTTCCGACGAGCCTTCTCTCTTCATCATACTAAACTATGTTGAATAACTGATGTGGTGTGCATTCCGAGATGATATAATGAGAAAGTGAAGGCTCTTCGGAAAATTGAGTTGTACTCGTAAATTTTCAAGTCGGTGACACCGACCCGTCGTCAGACGAAATGAACAGAGGGAAAGTGAAGTCGGCAGACTAGGTCGGCTGGCGCGACAGGACAGACAACGACAAACAGATAGCAGATGTGTGAAAGGGGTCGGCACCTAAACCCCCCTAACACCTCCAACGCCGG